GAACATGGTGCAGACATAAACGCCATTAAAATACAGACTGTGTAATATCTGTAGTGTACTTTTCTTTCAGTATATTGTTACAAGTAGATCTCTGTTTAAACCTTAAAAACCATCACAGAGCATGTCTGCTGGTACATGGAAAAACCATGAAACAGCACAACTACTTAAGCTGACTGGTCTTCCAGCAAACTCTCAATAAAGGGTGTGCACAGCTTCTCTTAGTTGTCTGTCATTACTACTGAGCAAGCCTTAGACATAGCAAGTTTCTTAGTTTTAGTTTAATTATAGACACTGAATGCCTATCCTCTTCTACTAGAATCTCATTAGATATCTGGGGATGGAGGAATTGGCTGCCTTTCTTTATCAATATGTTTTCCCTGGATGCCCTTATTTCGTTTGGTGCTTGAGCTTCTAATTTGTACTTTCTTCAGCCCTGAGTCTCCCCATGTTGTTTATGTCACTGTGGTTAGATTTTTCAATCCAGAATGGAATGGTAGTCATCTACTTCAGCTAGGAAAAGACAGGGTCACTCACATAAAATCTCAGCTCCAAATAATAAGAGCACTGGTTAGTAAGAGAGAGCTCACCACGCAAGGAACCTTGAAATACGGTTTTCAGTTCACAATTTGATCTATAAAGATGATACCCAACAAATCATATAACTCTGTAGTAATGACTGCCCAACTGTCCTGTTCATTTCCAGTTCAGAAGATCAGAATTGTTTGAGGATCCAAACTTTTAAGCAGAAACTAATTATTTGTCATTCTAAACTACCAGTTATCTGTTATTTTTCTTGCTTAGGATGGCAGGATGACCAACCCCAGTTTTGTTTGATTTAGTGGAAGGGTACAACTGAGTGGAAGAAAGTAATACTAGAGTCATCTTGTTTGAATAGACATCTCGAAGTTATTTTTGCAAATGTGCAAAATCTTTAATCTTCCAGCAAAAGCACAAAATCTATTCACTTATTCTTTCTGTTTCATGAAGTTACTTTGCCAGCGTTAACCAGCTTCCCAATCGTGTTCCTGGTCTAAGCAAGTCATTCAGTACAGAACTTGAGCTAATAATTGTATGGACCATACGTAAAACAGGAATAAATTCGGCAGTTTATCTTTTTTCTCAATATGACACTAAAAAACAATTTGACTAGCATCATCTGTAATTGCCAAGAAGCACATATTTGGCTTATTTTGTAATTGTTTTTAACCTAAAATTTAGAAAAATGTTCATTTTAAGTATCACACCTGTCAGATAAATGCTATAATTAGTTTGATGTTAGTCTTAAGGAACAGTGCTTCAATGACTAGCTAATATAGTATAATAATCAAGGACAACAAAAAAAAATCTAGTATTGGAAGAGGATAATTAATTTTGTACTATTGCAAAAAAAATTTGTGCAATGAATAAATAGGAGTGCTTTTTTAAGACATGTTAACTAATTCTGCTCTATTCAGTTTTGGAAAACACACTTAAAGGTGGAGGGCATTTAGATAAGCAACAGGATAAGAGGAGAGAAGGTCAGATGTGTAGAAGACAATGACTTATAACAAAATATAGAATAAAGCCTAGAAGCAAGAGGATTGCAGTGAAGAATAGTCCTCAGTTGTGTGAAAATTTACTTCTAAGAGGAAAGGGGGAATCTGTGTCCAAGTGAAACGGACAATAATTAATGACCTTAAGTTGGAGCACTGAAAGTTTAAACAAGACATTAGGGAGAAAACAAAACAAAAAAGGAAGCGTCCAACTATAATGACAATGAAGCACTGGAATATATTACTTAGGAAAGTCAAGATCTCCAGTGACGAAGAGGCTACAAGACAGGCTAGACAAACATGTCAGCAGTGGTTTAATTATAATTGATCCAGCCTTTGGGTAAGGGAAATGGATGTGATCAGCAGTCCAGAGCTGTGAGAAGGCACTGACGTATCCTCGGAGGCCAAGAAAAAGCTCCAGGAGAATTTAATCAGATCTCTCGCCTGCCTTCTACCTTTTCCCCTGAAAGTTCTCTCTGACAGCTATAACAATGTAGTATTTACTCTCAGCCAGCGGGGCCAAGAGGTGAATAGAGCCATCAGGGACGTCTCGCACAAGGGCACACTTTGAGCACCACCAGTGACCAGCTCGGCAGATGCGCATTGTACGCTCCTTGCGTTCCCCCAGTGAGAAGTGAGCTGAACTGTGTTGGAAGTTATACTTTCACAGCAGTGCAAAGTCCATGAGCAAGGCTGACCTTTCTCTTCCTAGAGAAGAGAAATCCAGATTCCTGCGTAAGGAACAGTGCAGCTCCCAGGGACCTTGAGACTGGGATTAGCAACAGGAAGACTCTAATGCTACTTGGAGATTCAGATTGTGGTTACAGAATTCAGCTACAGAGGGACAAGATCCTAGCTGTTGGGGAGAAGGACTAACTACATGCTGGAGTGAAAATAGGGATGTCTGTACACATGAAGGGCCTACCTTATTACAGTAGAAAGGTAGACCCAATAATAGCAAACTTGAGAACTGTTGAAGCAAATGATCTCTTAAAGGGACTTCCAGCTCTGTTTTCTCCTGGTTGCATATGTAATTAATAAGGTAGCAATAATATTCTTAAACCCATCAAAAAAACTGATAGATGTTCAGGTATTTTAGCAACCTGGATACTACGCTTTGGTTTCTACTCATTCAAGAAACACTGGAAGAATGCTTTCAGAGTATTTTATTTGATAAGTGTCAACTTTTCTTTTGCTGGAAAGGATTAGCAAAATGAGCGTATGAATTTTTAGCAAATAGAGAACATGTTCAGTAAATAATTCTTATGGTGCAGAACATTGCCAAGTAGCTTGATGCAAATATTCACCATCCAAACCCCTCAGTTATTTTGACAAATACCTCATCTAGCTGTGTAGGTCAAGGCAGCAGTGTGCAAGAGCATAGATGTACTTCTTTGAAGAACATGGAGTTGGCACAGGGCTTGCAAACTGAGAGATGCTGTGCACAGCATGAACACACTATGACCTAGGAGTAGGTCTCTGACAAATCAGTCACAAGCTCAAGAACTTATCTGCAGATTTACTTCAGTTGCTTTTCTTTTTGATTTTATTTGTATCTAATTAAAAATATGTATCCTTTTCTTAATTCTTACCATATTTCTTTAGATAAGTAATAAAGTGCCACTGGTGTTGGTCAATGAACCCTAAAACCAGATAAACCTCTAGGCATGAACCTTTTCATATGTCTCCACATATGGACTTGTGAATAACTTCCCTAGCCGATTGGTCTGTTGACTCAGTCCAATGTTGACTGAGAAAATCAGGGTATATCATTTCAAATGAACATAGGGCTGACACTATAGACAGTAAGTCAGATGGGAAACTGTTCCTAGTAAAGCAAATGACAGCCTACCACTGATAGATTATGCAGAACAGAATGAATAACAAAGATAACTAATAATCTTTACACACTTGTGAAGAAAGGTATTGTGGTTACAACACAATGAAACTGCAAAATTCTTACTACAATTTAAAATTTATTTTAAGAGGAAAAAAGTATACAATTTCCATTTAGAAAAATAATCATCAGTGTAAATTGACTCTAAGCAATCAAGGGGTGGAGTTAATTATGAATATGATTATACTCTACCCTAAAACATTTGCCTATTGCAAGATCTTCCTGATATCGGATCATAATGAAACAATGCAGTAAAAACAAGGTAGAAAGAAGACACATTAAAAAATGAGAATACTAAAACAAAGCAGCCTTTCATCATTCTTACTAACATATACTTCAGCAAGCAGAAAAATATCTTGGGATTTCAGAGAAATTGTAACGTTGTACATTTTGGGTTGTATCATCAGAAAATCTACATCGTGGCAAATAACAATATAATTTCCTTCATTATGTGATAGCCTTCCTTATCATTTAGTGTAATGACAGCATTTTTGGTTATTTGTATTCTAGCATCTGCAATGCACCAGATTGCAATAAATATAACTACAAATACATGTAAATATATAAGATATGAGCTGAGAAAGTAATTCTGCTTACCTCATCTGATACATAGGATACACACTTTTAAGAAAACACATGTACATTGTAATTAAAACAAAATATGATAAATTAGGATGTTGCTTCTCACCTTTTCATCTCCTCTGAGCAAGTACTGACCAATGGTGTTACATTTTTCGTTAGCAAATTGTTGCCATTTTTCTATTTCTTTTTTTACCTTGTTCTCCAGTCTCCTTTTCTTTCTTGTCTTAGTTTTATTATGCCTTTCTCATGGGTTCTGAAGTTCTAAAACAAAAAGAATATTTACATTTGCCACCTGATACAACTTTTTGATTACCTTTATTGAAGCAAAATCTCTCAGAAGGAAGGATGCACAACTCACTAACAGGTAGTCACTGCAATTTTAAGGTTTCTGGGTAAACTACTTCTTTTCATCTTTTGTACATTATAAGCAGGTGGCGAAATAACTACTGCCAGTAGCGATGGTGGATTCAAGATAAATTCCTTGCATTTACTCAGAAGTCAAAATAGACTGTCTGCAGCTCCAGACTTTAAGGGGTTCATGAGAAGTAATGAGGATAATTGTAATTATTCTTACCTCCAGTTCAACCAGGACTAGCTTGCCAATGGAAAATTTTTAAGGGCTACAGATGAAAAAAGATGGGAAACCACTAGTTTAGAGCGCTTAGGGACAATAATGCTACCTAGTATTTAAGTGAGTATAGTCATAACTCCTCACTTCTTCTCAGGCAGCTGGGGTCATTAATTCTTGCAACTGAAGAAATATAGTAACTGTATGTGAGTCCATTCCTTGTGTATTTGATCTCCCTGCTTCAGGACAAGGACACTCTGGCTTTGAGGAAGGAAGGTTATGATGAACTGCTTTTTTATTTGATTACATTTTTTTTATTTATTTGAATTTCTATTTCAGTGCAGATACATGACCCTGGACAACAGTTGTTTCAGCTGCAGCTCTGCAGCACTAATGAAGTTAAAGTCGTCACCTGTGGCTCCCTTGCTCCCTCTCCTTTTGGGTGGAGTCTCCTTGCACGGATCCCCAGTGGCCTTTGAAAGAAGATGGCCTGCCAGAATAAATAGGTTTCGCACAAGTCTTGTCTTTGGGTCCTGGCCTCAGCTGACCTTTTAAAAACCCAGTCTCCAAATTCCAAATGACAAAGTGGTCCCTGGCAAAACAACAGGATTCTTTGATATCACATGAACCATGTTCTGGGAACAGCACCAAGAGATCTTATCCAAACATTTCTCATAGACCTCACAAACACTAGAGAAAACCAATTCAGTCCAACAGGCACAGGGAAGAATGAATTGCCTATCTTTCTGCTCCAGTGAGGTCTTTATTACTGTTAGAGGATTTTCTCTCCAGAAAATGACATTTTTTTGCCTTCTTCCATTTGTGGAAAAGGCAGCTTTAGCTCACAGTTTGGGTCCCACAGTAGCTTTAAAACTATCAAGTACAGTTGACCTTAACTGGACTTAGAGTTTCCACTCAGATGCACAATATACTGTAAATAGTTGTTTATTTTCAGCTTTTAGCTTTATTTAGAGACATTTACATGCATATCTGACAGCTTTTAAGAGAATGCACTTTATGCTGATGACTATCACGACTCAAAAAAATCAGGAGGATTGGCTGAACAATCTTCGTATTTAAAAGTATTTATCAGTTAGAAGTGCAGAGAACGAACATATGATTTGTTCCATATGTAAAACTTCTTGGATGATGCAGTCAGTGCCAGAGACAAACTCCTACCTATTCTCAGGTCAAGCAGTAGTTCTTCCTCAAGAATCCTGTACTCCTTACTTTGGCAAGGAATGAGGTAAAGACCTGTCTGTTTCTTCATATACTTCTTTTTCAAAAGGTCATAAATTAACAGAGTCTATTAAAAATATAAAATAAACCATGCTGCCTGCTTTGTATAATGAATTATCTAATTAAATGTCTTGTTTTATGGAAATGAAAAAAAATCATCCATAAGCACGCACTCCCACAAACTTACTTTCTGAATAAATTTGCTGCTAGTACGTGAAAAAGGGGTCTCGGAGAATCCATAAAAAAGGAGGCCAACCCTTTGTTTGTAAGGGCAAAGAGTTTCATATCCCTCACCAGCACAATGTCAGCGCTTTCTTCAAGTCCCTTTTCCTTTCTAACAGCATTGCTTTGCATTTTGATTTTACTACGTTCCACACTGTAAAGACTCCAGCACTGAGATTCCTGCACACAACGCTCCTTCAAGACAAAAAAGAACAATCTATGACTAGTAATTATCAGGACTACACAGCTGTCCCCATTTTGCTTCAAAGTTCAAAGCAGCCTGATTTATGAGTCTTACAAACACTCCTAACAGTGGTCTCTAATTGCCTAACATAGATATCCATATACTCACTTGCAACATATGGCTGAAATCCTGGCCTCACTGAAGTCAGGAGCTCATTTTTGGAGTTCTAAGCGCTCAACTTTTTTTAATTCTTTTTTTTTTTTTCCATAACTAGGCTGGGACAGGTTCTACAAAGGTCTGCCGCATGAAGGTGTTGTGAGGATGAATTCTTTTGGTAACGCTTTCTGTCGAACTTGCTTTAACTGAATAATGCTAACAATACTCAGCACTGTGTATATTTATAATAGTTGTGAATCCTGCCATTTGCAGTGTGTAAACTATATCAGAAACTAGCAAGGCTATTTAGAAACAAATTATGGAAAGTAGTACATTTTGTTTAATTGCTTCTTTGGCAGAACCACCTTTTGCAGGCTTCAGTCATGTTTTCGAATACAGCACTGGGCCTGTCATGTGTGCTACCTGCCCTTATCTAAAACACAGAGAATGTTTAAACACTGAAGATCTGTCTTTTCTGAACCTGCCTGGGATAATTCTGCATAGTCACAATGTCTTGAGCTCCATCTATTTCTTTATACTTGTTTGCAGTAACAGTCAAAGGCTGGTCATTGACCTTTGAAGCCAAGTGCCACATTTGAAGGTAGTTCTCTCCAAAACAAAAGGCTAAACAGTAATGGACTTCAAGGCAGACACCTACACATTTAAGGTTAAATTGAAAAAAAGAGTATTTGTAGTGCAGGAATAGAATATTCTATAACACATGTGCCTGTGGTTGTTTTACTGGGCCTATCAAATTGCTTACAAGGTTTACGTGAATTTTGTCGTCCACATTTTTGGGACACAGGCCAGGTACACAAAGGTCTATTCTGTTCAGTTTCTAGGTGCTGATTGCTATGTATGAAGTCTGATGTGATCTGGCTTACGAGAGCTTGGAATTAAGCAAAATTTTCTCTCTGCACCTGCCTTAACCTAACAATTGTGTTCACAAGGAATGTTTCAGATATCTTCTTCTAAGCTTAGCTGTACAGCATTTAGGGTCTTGGGACATTTTTTACAACAAGCCATTATTTGACTTTGATTCCATCAAATATACATTTGCATCTAGCATTATATGGAAGAAGATATAAAACCTATGCTTAATTTTTCTTCTTCAATAATAACTCATTTTACCGATAAAGCATTGGGATAACAATAAAAGCTTGAATTCAGCACTGAAATTCATATCTCTGTTTTCCAGAATTTGGGGATTTTTAGGATTAGACGGTATGTTTCAGGGATAAGGAGTAATCATAGCCCTCGGAACTTAATTTAAATTTTCTTGAAGTGGTGGACAATTCCTAAGTCACTTGATTCAGATCTCTTTTGTAGTCTGACAAGAATAAATACATTGTTCAGAACTTAAGCCTATCTATCTCCTTTGTCACATGATTGATTTCAGAGCATGCAGGTCGTTTGGTATTATTGAAAGACACTAGCACAGACTGTGCAATAACTAACGAATAAGGAACGACAATATTCACAGTCTGAGATTTCCACCTGCACGATCCCTTCAGGAATGAATCAATCTATAAAAACAATTCTCCTTTATTTAACATATGGCAGCAGAAATGAAACTGCTCATCTCCAAGAGGAACCAAAGGTAACTTGCCCTCATGCTTATGGCCTTCAGATTTCAGAGTATTATCTCAGTGGTATTAATGTTTGGAATAGGGCTGAATGCCACAAGACAAGAGCCCAGATGATTAATGAAGTAAGTGAAAATAAAGTCTTTGCAGCAACCCTTACAAGTGTGAAAGTAGGCAAAGGTGCTAACTCCGAAGAGTTCTATTTGCACAATATCCTGCTGCCTCGTGAAAGGGCACCTCTAACGAACAGGGCTGTACACAGCAAGAGTGAGGTTTCTACTATACCACTAGAGACATTTCTAAAGCAGCAGATGTTTTTAAAGCTGCAACATTAAGTGAAAAGAAAACTTGCTCTCTCAAGAATATTTAAGGGTCAAACTCACGGCACTGTAAAATAACGGCAACTCTGCTGACCCTTGTGAAAATATCGAAGTAATATAGGACTTGCTCTTGGAACAGCTGTCAGGCATGGCAGGATGCACATACCAGAAACTGTAAGGTCTACTGGAGGAGTGAGAGCGCTGGGACCTCCTGCCTTGAGACGGAATTCAGCTGGGTGAAGAAGTTAGGGATAAAAGCACAGATTTTTAGGTTGACTCAGGCACCTAAAGCTGCAGGAAGGCTGCCAGTGTGATTTTCAAAACCTTCGACATTAGAAAAAACACTATAGGCTGGCCACCCAAATATTTTTAAAAACTGGGCACAGGTTCCTTTTCTGGAGGAGAAAGAATATAGTTTGTAAACATTCGTTCCTTGAAGATCACAGGGAAGTAGTCGTTAGTTACCGCTGCTCCTTGAACAGCGACCATGAGCTCTTGCCGTATCCGCTTAGCACCCACCTCTCCTCTGCTAGCACTGAATACCATGGCTTATTTTTCATTCCCATATAAAAGAAGAGTCAGTATCTCCAGCCTTACACTGCCACACTACCAAGTAAAGCCTGAAGACTAAGTGCATATACAAGGAAGAATTAATCCTGCTTCCAGATGTGTATGTGCAAACCAGTGCAACAGGTATATGATAATATCAGATCTATCCTGTAAGAATCAAGCAGATGATTAAGTTACGGAATAAAACCCAAAAGTTCTGATGCAGCTTGATTTGGACTTTTAATACCAACTATGACATGACGGGGAGAGGGAAGGCAGAAAGTGCAATCTTGCTGCTCCGGCGGTTACAGTTTAGGAATGAAAAACTATCAGATTGCCAAATATGCTAATTAATTGCTCATTTTAATGCTATAAAAGATTGTTAGGTACAGTGGTTGGGATTTTTATTGTGGTTTGATTTTGCTTTTGTTGAGGTACTTTGCCCCTGTCTCTGCACGCGCAGAATCTAGATGCAGCATATGTTATGATTTTCTGTACTCCCATCCTAGCTTTTAAACTCTTCAGACATACTAGTGATAAAATATGGGACTGAATAAGGATCTCAAAATGCACCTTGAGTTATTCTCTTTATAATCTCTTTTGTCTATGGCCTCTCTTACATCCTCTCACATCACTTTTCTTCCTAACACTTTGTCCTACCTCCATGTGATTGGATTTGTCTTTGCAAACTATTTCTGCCTTTAATGTAGAGTACTTGCAGAGCTATTTGAAAACCAAATTAATGCAAGTGGCAGACACTTGACTTTTCCTAAGCCTCATCATTCTAATCCTGTCAAACATACTGCATAGGTAAATATGACTGTCTTTTCCTATTGTTGCATGTTGCAGAAGTGGACTAATCATACTTAGAAAAGTTTTTTTTTTCTGTGACTATAATATTTACACAGAGCAAAGCTGAATAATGAACTCCCAGCTGATGCTGGGAGTAGAACACCAACTGAAAGGGCACCTGGTGTTGCATTAGCACAAACTTTGTTCTCAGATTTTTCAGTCTGACAATCACTCTCAGCAAACATTGTGTAAAGCTGCATGCTAGACTGGCATGTCAAACCAGACAAGAAAGCCCTTCAACTTATTTTTGGAAGAAGTACCTGCAGTTTAGTAGTAGAAGATACAGCAGATTGTTGAGGGGGTGATACGGGGAGACAATGGAAGTCATACCGACAAAATGTACCCTTACATCATTTGCATTATTTAATGATAATACAGCAAATATAGAGCAATAGAGTAAATCTAAAGAAATTATGAACAGATCTAACTGAAACCAAAATATAGTGATGGAAGACTGATATTCAAGTTGAATTCTGATTAAGGATTTTAGTCACAAGTTCTCCGTGAGGGAAAATACTTTCTACTAACCTATAAGCACAAAGAATACAATCTTTCACTGAATTCCTTGATATAAGTATGGAGCAATCCTTGTGCACAGGAATATCTGCTGAAGAAATGAGTATTTCAGGTAACAATTGGCATGAGTCTGTCAGGTCAAAGCCTGAAATAATAAAAAAATGGTATAGGTTCGAGCACAGAGCTGAGCACATTTCCTGAGTCTGCCTTATGTTCCTTTCCCTTCCCTGCCCCAGAATAAAATATGAAGCACTAAAGTTCTCAGGGGAAAGGAAATCAAATGTGCAAACAGGGGATATGAACGTATCACCCCCACCAACAAAAAGCAGGAGAGAAAAATAAACCTAAACAAGGGAGAGAACTGAAAAAAGACTGAAATGACAGTGGAAATGAAATGCAGGTTCAAAGGAAAAAATGTCAAAAATAATTAGAAGGAGAGGGAAAAGGAGTCAAAAAAATCTAAAAAGAAAAGTGAAGGGTCACTTTATGGTTAGTTAACCGCATCTGAAAGAAATCACAATATAATCTAACTCCTCTTCTAAAAAATTGCTAGATTTTTCTCTCCTATTTTCTTTCATTAAGAAAATCCTAAAATGCATGTTCAAAGTGTCGTATAGCGCTGTTATTTATTCAGCAGCCACTGCTGAGGAGGTATCACTGTAAACTGCATAATTTAAGGTTTGTTTTGTTTTTCAGAATTAACAGTTTCCTGCAAATCTTTTAAAAATTTTTTTACATTTTACTTTCTATCTACTAGATTTGACAGGTTAATTCCCATTGAAATGCTAAAAAATGCCTACAGGGTAAAAAATCCTGACAAGTTATCCCATTATTTAACTAATTTGACAACTAAAATAAATACAGAAATAAGTCCTCCTCTCTGAAATGTTGAAATATGGATAATGAGCCCGTTCATAAGTCAGATAGGATCCAGATAGATAGAATAAAACGTTAAAAAAGCTATTAAAACCTCCATGCTCCAGGATATAAAGCAATTTCTAACTGAGGAAGTCATACAGCAAAGTCTATTAGACAGCAGTTTGATATAAACTTTCTTGTACCTTCCTCTGAAGGAAACAATAAGTTTCTGTCAAGGAAGAGAACCCTGAGCTGAAACTTAAGTTATTTGATGTGGTCATTACTATTTTTGCATGATGAGAGTCTGAAATGGAAAAAATCTCACAGGAGGTTTAATAGGCTGTTTACCTGCAATCAGGGATGCAGCAGAGAACACACACGACTATTACCTAAGCAAGTTCCAGTGTCTCCCCCTCAGTTTGCTGTAATTTTTATGATCAATACATTAGTGGCGTTGTAGATGGCAAAGGATGCCACAGCACTGCAAATTACAAAGGGCTCCAGGAAATAGCAAGTGGCTATTTGAGGTGGTAAGGAACAGTTTTGTATATCATTCCTCAGCTGTAATTAACTGTGTGAGTTTTCCTACCTTTTTTAGTACAAACAAGTCAACTCTACCTAGTGCTAAGGACAGTTTGCATACATGTGGTCAGCTACAACTCAGAAATGGTAAAAGAAGCTGTTCCTTACTATCTCTCAGCTATGAATCTCCACCTCTAAAAGCATATTTATTTATCTGTGGATGACTATTACTCCAAGTGCAAAAGGAAACATATGGAGGGAAGCTCATTTGTCCAGAAGGACCAGATGTCCTCTCATCCTCTAAGTCAAAGGAACATTTTTTTCTAAAAGTTGCTGAAATATAAGCCATTTTTATGATTTAATGAACACAAAGAAAGCTAAGAACAAGAACAATAAACCTCCTCTCACCTTGCAATTTGCTACCATCAAAAAAAAAAAAAAGAACACGGAGTTTCCCTTTCATTACAGATGTCAGTACTGGCACATCCAAGTAACGATCACCTATATAGATCACTCTCCCCAATGAAAGATCCCAGATTTTAAAAGAACTCTGCTCAGTCACTGCCACCAGTCTATTCTTAGGCACAACAACACAATTAATGTTCTTCCCAACTCCATGGAGTGTGAAGGTTGCTTTGCCAACACTTAAATCTCAGAATTTCAAAGTATCATGCTGAGATGTGGTCGTAACTATGAAATGCTTATGGGTTTCTGCAACTGCTGTGATTTTTTCCATGTGACCTAGGAGTTAATGTATTTTAAAAAACAATGTGGTTGCATTAATAGTCTATAATTAGACACACACAACACCTTTTTATTTTTAAACAATAGGCTTACTGTCTATTTCCCATTCAGTTGGTCTAGATTATACTATTGTTGCTGTCTGATTGTTCTCTCTCAGTTAGGAAGCAAACCCAGAGGTTAACCAAAGTGCAGTTACATTTAGGTACAGAACTAGAATTAATTCATCATTAAAACTGAGAAATCAATTGCTCAGAATTGTGAGGATTCAGAGTTCAAGCCAAAAAGATTTTCCATTTGGTATCATTTCCAAAATATTGTATTTTCTACATACTAATTAGTATTATGTATTTGTCAATTAGTGTACTACGTAAGATAGCATCAGATTGGTAAACTGAACAAATGATTAATCCTGCCACACATTCTGCACACTACAGGCCTAACTTAACACCACCAAATTCTGCCATGCCTCAGGTTGTAGCTTAATCATAAAATCACAGCAGAATTCCATTACTCCAACTTGAACTTATCATTCATGTGGAAGAAGGGAATCCTTGGCTACAATTCCTGGTTCAAGGCTGTATTTCATCCAAAGGCTCTACTGTGCATTAAATGGACGTGGCCCTTGCAGCAGAACTGGAACCCGTGTTCTTTTGTTCCTAACCTAACATGAGAAGCCTAATGGCTAGTGTCTCTGTCATAGTGAATCTGTAATTATGCCATGAAAACTGTAATGATTCAAAAGCAGAGCCAGAGCCCCTCCACCAGCAACACCGCCTTTCACCAGGGCAGAGGTGAAGGTCATAATTTTAGACATCTGAAGTCACCTAAGTTCTGTTCTAGTTGTAACAGAATATATCTTTGGTTAGCAGGCAAATTTGCACCAGTGCAACTGATAAAAGTACAATTACTTACTAATCCTGACCAATTATTGTTCTGACATAAAGGAAAATCCAGTAGCTCTAGTTTATACAGTTATTTCTGGCTATAACTTGTGCGTTTTAGAGGTTTCCATTTTCAACTTTCATTTTATTTCTTCACCTCTCATACTAGAGAAAGTATATGAATCAATTCAATATATGGTGTCTTAGTGGAGTTAATAATGTGTTTGCAAACTTACAGGAAACTACTAGATATAAAAAGGCATTAGCTCAGCAACCGTGATAATAGGAGATATATATATGAATCCTTCATGTTTTAACTGATAAATGTATTAGCTGTATCAACATTCACAAGAAAATCAGAACAAAAACGCTTATTCTGGGACTAGTCAGGCTCCTAACCTGTTCACCATAGCACTGAGAATTAGTTTTAAATCATTTTTAGAGGCCTGAGGTTTTTACATATAATAATGAAAATATAGCTTGATATTATTAAAAAGTGGCTTGAACTTTAATAAGCTTCTATTGATATGCTTAAGAAACTATTGCAGTTGAGCTGGATTAAAAAAAATAGTTGAGTGAAAAAACGCAGAATTTCTATGCTGGAACCAATCTTATTATACCACTAGTTTTTTATCATGATTTGGGATGATATGTCAAAATACTGGCATTTTTTAGGAAAAAATGAAGATATGTAACTTTGGAAATACTTAAACATTTTGTTTCAACATTCTCAGTCAAAACAAACTCTTTAGACTCTTCTATATTTTTACGTGTTGAATTAAATCAAAACCCATAATTTGCATGAATTACATTTTTTGTCCTTTCTCAGTCGATTCATTTATTGATAAACAAAATATCACTTTAATATAGAGCAGAAATATCCTCCAGCCTGTTTGTAGTCTGGAATTTTGAGAGATTTCCTTTCAGAGACAGGGATAAGCTATTCACTCTTGCTTCTACCTGTCTTCATTTTCTCAGGGGACACTTAGTTTATTCTCAGAGTTTTTTTCTCTTTTATATAATTATGTTATCCTCATTTACATTATAAAGAAGTGAATCCATAAAAAAACAAACAGTCATGACATGTAAATCACAAGCTTTGTTTGCTTTACACTGAAGTAACAGTTCCCACAAGAGAGGTCATTACTCCTCGGTTTTAACAGCCTCAATAGTGACATAAGGAGCTGCAAATCCAGGGGAAACAGCCATGCAATTATTTGTGACGGTCTTTGGAGTTTTACAGCATGCTACATCCCACTTTTGAGTCCTGGAGGGGTCGAGATATAATAGCCATGATCCACCTCATTTTTATGACTGAGGAAAATGAGCAGGCTATGTTTTTTTTGTTTTCTTTTGAGTCTCTCAAAGTTTTTTCCTCAAGAGACAATCCTTGATGAGTGTGCTGCAGTAAAGATCAGCAGGCAGACATTAGAAATGAACTACTAGCAGTGCTTTTCAGTATTCTTTTAAAATCAATACTTAACTGTTGAAGATGACAGCATTAAATTGCAACTAGGGACTAGAGAACTGATGTCTAATTTTTATATTTTCTTTTCCCAAGCAATAAATAAACACAAATTTATGGAAGTCAGTGCTGCAAAACTACAGAAGTTTTGGCTCAAATTCTCACAGCGGAAGAGAATCTCTTTCATACACTGGAGGAAAAAAAACACAGGGGGCGAGGGAAATGTCTTGGCTGGAGCCTTTATGCTGTACTGTTGTAACTGAACGCTGTGGGGAAACACAAGGCATTCGACTTTCAATAGAGTGTTTCTCAGACTCAGACTGCTGCTAAGGATTGTCATCCTCCAGGTTTTACTCAAGCAAAACTCAACTCAAGTGTTATCCAGTCAGGCTACTGAGAAAGAAACAAGGAATGAGAGTTGTTTTATATGTTTTCCTCCTACCTGACAGGAAGCCCGCCCACAAGGCACATGAAGGCAGGATGCTGAAGGCAGAAGAAGAGGGATGGCAGATTCCCAGCACAGGGACAGAAGAACTGGCAGGCTGGGCTACTTTCTTAGGGCCACCTAATTACAAAAAACAGATATGTTTTTATATTATAATTTAAACTATTTATTATGACAAGCAACGAAAATATCAGCATCTTGTGTTGCTGAGAATGAATCTTCTATTATATTTATTTCTATATAGTATTTATTATAATATTTTCTTAATAGTTTTCATTTCCTTATTTTTAATAGCTAGGCAAAGCTAGTAGCTCACTGATTCTTCTACAATTAGCTGTAATTATCTTTCCTAGTGCTCCAATATGCGAATGTACACAAATGTATTTAGCAACACAAGAACTGAATCTTGGCTGTTCAGAAAAAATATTAGAGTCTCAGAGTTACTACAGAAACATTCATATCAGGCCACAGATGACATGTTTTATATTTCTAAGATTTAAGAATAATCTTTCCAAATAGACAATTTAAAATCTAACAAAGAAAAAAGAAAATATGCCAAATTCAGATACGATTAACCTAAGAATTAAACCCCAATTATTTAAATAGCAAGACTCATAGTACATAGTGCCATGGGCTTACTTACGCCTACAATTTGATGCAGACAGCTTATAAGCTGAGAAGCCAACTGACAAAGGTCCTTCAGTAAAACTTTCTTGGATAATCTGAGGGCTTCACTTAACAGACTCAAGTCAGCTACTGCCCTGTGGAATGCAAAAAACCAATTATAAAAAAAAAAGTATTACAAACAAGCTACTTCATTAAACATAGTACTGCTTTTTATAGAAAAAAAAAAACCCTCAGCTAGTATTTATTATAATATTTTCTTAATAGTTTTCATTTCCTTATTTTTAATAGCTAGGCAAAGCTAGTAGCTCACTGATTCTTCTACAATTAGCTGTAATTATCTTTCCTAGTGCTCCAATATGCGAATGTACACAAATGTATTTAGCAACACAAGAACTGAATCTTGGCTGTTCAGAAAAAATATTAGAGTCTCAGAGTTACTACAGAAACATTCATATCAGGCCACAGATGACATGTTTTATATTTCTAAGATTTAAGAATAATCTTTCCAAATAGACAATTTAAAATCTAACAAAGAAAAAAGAAAATATGCCAAATTCAGATACGATTAACCTAAGAATTAAACCCCAATTATTTAAATAGCAAGACTCATAGTACATAGTGCCATGGGCTTACTTACGCCTACAATTTGATGCAGACAGCTTATAAGCTGAGAAGCCAACTGACAAAGGTCCTTCAGTAAAACTTTCTTGGATAATCTGAGGGCTTCACTTAACAGACTCAAGTCAGCTACTGCCCTGTGGAATGCAAAAAACCAATTATAAAAAAAAAAGTATTACAAACAAGCTACTTCATTAAACATAGTACTGCTTTTTATAGAAAAAAAAAAACCCTCAGCGAGAGATTCAAGCATGTCTCTTGTATCAATAAAAATTAAGCTTTTTAAAATATGACCCATGTTATATCATGGACATTTGGCATCCCCCTTTTGGGCCTCAGAGTAGCCATCAGAAGCCCTGCAGTTCTTGTAAGACATGAGGCCACCTCTATTATAACTGAAGAGAAGAAGAATAATTATTTTCACTATTGAACTAAGCATTCAAAATGATAGCAAGACTATTTACCAAACAATAGATATGTACAAATAGCTTTATAAAAGCCATAACCAAGCTTCGTAAGTAAATCTGAGGACGTTTACCTTAGGAGAACGTCCTAACAAAATCTAGTATTAGAAATCATAATGCCCAGTAATTAAGAGACAGGTCAGACAGTGACATCTACCAGAATCACGAGAATCACTGCTCTTGGAGTTGAGTACCTTTTGAGATGAGCACAGATATCAAAACATAGTTTTTAAACCAGAATACTTACTTCAGGAGGGCTACTTACAATGAAGTACTACGCTGGTTAGGGTACCAGAGTATGGTCTCTACTATGTCTTAATAAATACAAAGGACACTTATAATATTATCTGTAGCGATGAGAACAAAAAGGCTACCTGAGGTAGTCAAAAACATTTTCCTGTGGTAAACTTCACCTTTCTGATACAAAAAAGAAATACAACACAAAAGGGAACAAAACATAAGACTTTAGCATGAAAATCGAAACTGTTGTCCCTGAAATGCCACTGCGGTTCCTCACAACGGCTGTGGGTTTTGGAGGCGTCACGGTCCGTTTTTCTCAAAGAGCAGAAGCCATTGCTTATGGTGCATCTTGGGGTGCACGTGCATGGAGTGACAGAGATCTTGATCCGAGAAGGCTAGCAGGTGAATCAGCATCAGAACTACCACAAGGAGAAGTGACAAAATAACAGATATCAGTAATCAATGATCACCTTAGTGGTATACGAATAGCTGTCTGACCATTCCTGCAAATGACAGAGCTGGTCTATGGGCTAATAAATTTTTACCAAAATATCCCTTTTTCCATTGTTATGAGGGACCCTCCTGACTGGTTCTGCTTAGATGACCAGGCGGCAACATCAACTGTTTGTGAAGTTTTGGGATGAAAGATAATAAATATAAAAGCACATTAAAATCAAACACTTCACAAGTAAGATTTAAAAAAAACAAGCCTTTGAAATATTTTCTGCTTCCAGATTTTCACACTGTGAAGTTGTTAGTCAGAGAATGCTGACTGCAGCGTGCTACCACAGTGAAAAGAATGGACCGTGCTAACGCGCTGCACTCACCGATGCACAAACTACACGGGGTGCTGCAAAGATGTGAGAGAAGGACAGCGAGGGCTCAGGACTCAACCATCTCCTAGGCCAATCACTACCGCTTTGAATGGGTAATTTATGGAACTTGCCCTCCAGCTCTGGCAGCTGCTTTTAAATCCTCCTCTAGGGTTATAACTGACAATGCGCAGGATTTACGCAACAGAAATTCAGTTAAACAGTCATTCTGTTATTAATGTGGGGATATTCTTAGATTGGATCAGATGATATGAAGTTCCAAGAAGCTAACTCAGACTGAATTCATGACTTTCTTCAAAAATCAGGCCAGGGGCTGAAAAATGGTCAGTTTATGACATCCTCAAAGATTAGGAGAAGCTATTCCCCAGACAGTAATCTGCAAATACAGCATGCACAGACAACTGTGTGTCAGGTACTTTGAGGTATCTTTCCAGACAGATATGCTTCAGAGATGAATGAAGCCAGGTGAAACGTTAAGTGTTGTCAGGCCTTTTCCTATTAGATGCTCTCCAAAATCTTTTTGGAGTCTCAACCACAGCACTTTGGGGAAGGCTGAAAATGAAACTTTCTGACGTTTTGTCATCTCTTGCATTACTGCCTCATCCAGACACAAAAGATTCAGTAATTATTCCACTGCTATGTCATTTCTTGATGGAGTGATATAAGCTGCCACTGTTCAGATGACTTGTTCCCCATGGTTTTTCTCTATTCTGGTCAGAAGCAACGAGTACATTGCAGAAATATTGGGAGAAGAATATACCTCTGATTCTGGACTACAGGATGCCGTAAGAGTGACTTTCTATGGGCACAAAAAACAGTGGTAGCAGGCAGGCAACAGTCTTTTTTAGGAGCTGCTGCTGGTAACTACAGGGTTTTCAATGGTCCCTTTCCAACCAGCAAGCAATAATTTCATTTATTTCTGTAGATGCTATGTGGGAAATTTGGAGAGTATGCTGTTTATCTGTCATTTCCTGCAGAAAAATAAATAATTCTAAATGTGTGAATTAAAACAAAGCAGGATGTGTGAAAGGCTTCAAGAGTTACAGCCTCTCCAAAGGTTAATCCCAAATGATGCAACTCCCCTTCCTTGCTCCCAATTCATTGTTTGTTAAACACTGTGCTTAAGGTAAAACTTTGTCCAGTTAAAGATTTAGTTTATGTGCTTCAAGCCTCAAGCCTTATTATGAATAATAACTTGGAACGAAGAGAAACCTAAAGAATCCTGTACCGATCTGTTTATATTTTCCATACAAATACCCCATAATGCCTGATTCTATGATGATTCTTCACTTGGCTACTGAGATCAGGGCTGAGGTATCCAGGGCTTTTGCTCCTGCTACAGCTCTGAGAAAACTAATGTCTGTTGTTCCAAACTTCTCTGGGTCTGCCTGAAGAGATCTCTTCTCAAACAAATCTCCACTGACTCCAGGGACCTCTGAGCAGACAGCACTGATCCACAGGTATAATCACAATGTCAGGGCCTAGGTCACAGAACGGAAGACCCTTGCTTAAACTGCTACCACATTGGACCTTTTTAGATAAAGGATCTGGTCCTGAAAAGTATCACTCAAAGGCATAGTTCCTTTGAAGACAATGGATCTACACTATGAATAATGATATGAACAAGTCAGGAGACTTTACTTTCAAACATCATATTACTTTAATCAGAGATTTTTTTTTTTGTAGTAAGGGAATCAAATATTCCCTTTTACATTTTTTAGGGCTCAGTACAGCTTATCATGAACAAAAATTTGAAATGATTCATCCTGTCTGATGGCAATCAGCTTTATATACTAACTGACATGCAAAGTATTTTACTTCTACCGTTTTAAAGGATGCACATCCTGTAGATGTAGAAACAATAACATTCAGATTCTCATGGGGTTCAGAAGGTAGCCAAGAAAGGTCAGCTCCACACTCTTCTGAAAGCTCCTGTCGAAGCCTTCCAGACTGATCAGCATTGTCTTATCCTTTGTAACTAATTCCAGCAATGAGGAAAACTCTTGAACTAGTGCTCTACAATCCTTAGTTAAAGATGAAAGAAAATAGTTCACACTGGCTTTAGTATCTTGTATTTAGTTATAGTTTACCCCATTGCATTATAATTTTTATTTTATGTTATGGCAAAGAGTTAGAAGGGTTTTAGGTAAATAATTTAAGCAGAATCAATAAGAACTAGTGGATATTCCTATAGAGGATGTAACTTGCACTACAAAGTACATAAAAGAATGAATCTTGTGCCAAGGACTGGAGTTCAGTTCAGTTCAACCACAAGCTGCAATGCAATTTTACTGCAAACTCAAATGCACTAAAAGTAGAGTTCAGATATTTGTTGAGCATGTGGAGCTATTCAGGGAGGGCAAACGGAAAGATGTTTGTTGCACTCAGCAAAACTTCTACTACCGTTATTTCCCATGACAGAAGGCACTGATATTATAGTCACCTTATTTGCTGCAGCACAGTTCATCTTCTTTGGTTAAAGAATAGTCACAGGCCTCATTGTTATATCTAGATATAAAGCATCTACGGATTAAATACAGCTCCGGCCTACAGAGGCGAGCAGAGGAGATACACTGACCACTGTTTGCTTTGCATCTGATCACTTGATAGCCAGCACAGATCACTAGCAGCAGCCGGAACCACTGCTTAGGTGAGTCTCTAAGAAGGAATCAAGTATTTCCCTACTTTTCTATTGTTCCAACATTTAAGGGCACCCTGTAACATGGTTGTATCAAAGAATAAACTGAACACTGACTCTCTACCGAGTCTGCATCTGCTCCCAAGCTAACTTAAAGAAAAAGAGCCTATTCCCAAGCCCCATGAAGTGAAGGAGAGAACTTTCACTAGGGAACCCTTTGAGAATTAGGTCAAAATAAATTCTGACAGTTCTCGCTTCAGCTCCCTCTGGTGGGTAACGTGCACTGCAGAGAATAGCAGGTTCTGGTAAAAGTAAAAAACAAAA